TCAGCATCACAATGCCTGTGTAGATTTTTTGGAGCTGTAATTATTCAATCATTACTGATTTATTAAACTATCGAAAAGAAAAATATGTTGTTGTATATACTGTAAAGGTATTTTTTTAATTAATGAAATGAAAATTATGTTTATTACTAATAGCAATACATGTGAATAACAAAAATACATATCCCAGCTATCAACCGGAACATATTTTTTGCTTTTGTTTTTAGCTGACACAAAACACTTGCTCACTTATGGAGTCTTCTGTAGTTTTTTGTTGCATGCTCAAAAACATATCCTCAAACATCTATCACTTCTCTGTGGTCAAAAGCATTAAAATACTTTTATATTCAACCATATTTTATTTTTCTTGTGCAGATATTCTAAATGTCAGAAAATAATAAATTGTCAACTTAAAACACTTGTATCTGGCTTTCTCTGTAAGAAAACTGAGCTTGTTTTTCACAATAAGCCATCTTGTAAAGGCCCCAGATTGCCACACAAAACGCCGAATTTAAGGAGAACAGTTGAAGAACTAAAAGGAATTACCTTTGATACTCAATTGGAAAGAAATTCCAAGCAGAATTCAGAAAAAATCACGGTTTGAACTGTTTTCTGATAAACTGAATCTTTCTAAGCTTCTTAAGGTGACCCAAACCCCACTTGTGATCAGAAATCAATGAAAATATAACGTCAGCTCCAGAAAGAAAAAAATATAGATGTATACAGTTACAATGGAGAGGATGTGTTTTCACAGATATATCAGACGAACTTTATTTTTTTTTTAAATCTTTTATTTATTTGTACAGGATCTCACTATGCAGCTTAGAGTCGTAGTGATTCTCCTGTGTGAGCTTTCCCCAGCACTGTGATTTACAGGTGTGTGTCACCACACCTGGCTTTGGTGACCAGCACATCAGCATGGCCTGCAGTACTGGGGAATCAAACGTGGGCCCTTGTGCTTGGCACACAGGCGTTTAGACTGCCAAGCTATCTCCCTCACCTGAACCAGATTATACTGACATAAAAGAGAAAAGGGAACCTAATTAAGATTTAGTAGATTAAATATTAAGAAATTGGATCATATTGTTCCTAAAGGGGAGAGTTTCTGCCTGAGGTCTATCAAGCAAGGAATTAAAAATCAAGAGTATAAAACATATTTTATTAATGTAACCAGCAAATAAATATGAGAAATATAAAAAGCAAAATGAGCTAAGTCTATGGTTCTTCAGAGATCAAAACTTTGTAAGTGTGTTTATTGTTCGAGGCATGTAACAACAATTGTCTATATCCTATCATTAGGATGTCATGGAACAAGACTGGATGTGGTGGTGTGCACCTGCAATCCCAGCACTTGGGAGGCGGAAAACAGGAGGATAACTACAGGTCTGATCTGTGTAGTGAGGCCTGTAATTCTTGTACAATAAAAAAGGAACTCATGGAACAGTTCAGGTTCAACTGTAGAGTTCTTTATCATAATGCATCACAACTTCACGTAGCACAGGAATATAAGAAAAGAACTGTGATAAAAATTAGTACAAATGCAATAACTTCTGGAGAAAGGCACAGTATTGCTGCATGTTTTCATCTCCATAAAGTAGCTATGATGACCTGGATCTGCCTTTATCCTCACTGGGAGCCAACCACCATCTATGGTCAAGTGGGCCTTTGAAATTTTAAATAAAAGCCTTTCTATTGAGCACATTGAACTGAAAGTGTAAAAGTAAACTACATGTAAATGTAGATAAAACTACTTGTGGTGGGTGAAATAATAACCATCATGAATAAATTATCCTTGCAAACAGGGAGAGTTTTGATAGGCTGTGGGTAGTACAAAACTTATCTACACTTAAGTCTAAGCTTAATTGCTCAGTACTATGTGCCCGAGTTAAAACAGCCCTAGTACGATTTACTTATAAATATTAATCAACTTTTACATGATAAATACAGACTCTATGTCACAAAAGAATATAAGAGAAATTTCTATGCATGACTTTGTTGCTGATGAGAAACTTTCATATACTCCAAGACTTTCCATATCTTTTATGTTATGATGCTACATCTCCTCTCTCTGTCTCACTCTATATATGTCTCTCTGTCTGTCTGTCTGTCTGTCTGTCTGTCTGTCTGTCTTTCTCTTTCTTCCTCTTTCTTCTCCTCTTTTCATTTTTGAGACAAGATCTTGCATTTTCGTTGAGTGATACAAGTTAAGCTGGTCTTGAACTCCCATTGAGCCTCTGTCCTCAGTTTCTGAGTTCTACTATTGCTAGCATGCACCACCAGGTTTGGCAAACATCTCTTCAGGAGCACGTGTCAGACTGTGACACGACTGTGTTGATCAGGCAACTGTGAGGCTCACATTTAATGATTTTCTGCAAAATGTCTCACCAGAAAAAGCAGCACACATTAAGGCAAACATTTTAAATGCAATTAAAATTCCACATAAAATGTAAGCAAGGAGATACATTCTGGGTGTAGTCTTTTCAGGTTAAAAATAGATAATAGAGCTACCGAAGTACTTTCACATATTCAAGCAAAGGAAAATGGAGTTTAGTTCTTACATTAAATAATAAATGCAGCTCACACCCCAAAAAACAATTCCATGTTTTCTTTACATTTTCTGCATATTTCAGGTGAAAGCACTTGCTGACCTGCTGGCTGGTCAGCTTTCCTTTTCCTGTAACATTTAACAAGAGCTTTGACAAGTTTTCAGTGAAACCTACTTATTAAGTTTCATAATGATCAGCACAGAGTGATATGAATGTTTCTTCATGCTTTTCTGTATTCAGTGTAAGATTAGTCTATGTAATGAGTTTTGAATCACAGCACTGAAAGAGAGAAAGAGAGGCTCGATAGGGTAAACAGGGTACAAAGAAGGTTTAAACTGTTATTGCAAGGCTGGGCTTGTAGATTACTTTCAAAATTATAGGAGAGCCTCATGGAAGCACATCAATTGATGCAAGTTTTGAAAAGTTTATGAACAAGAAATCAGTTTTTGTTTCCATTTGAGACCATAAAGATTTGGATACAATAGCTTATTGTGAGGGTTGTTAACATTCTGTGAAAATAAACATTATTATGTGAAAAAGAAAGAACTCTATAAATGGACCAAATTAAAGAGAGGGAAAGGAACAGATTTTAGGGAGGCAAAGCATGGATCTGTAATTTGACTTTCCTTTCTCAAAT